ATATATATATATATATATATATATATATATATAAATAAAAAAAGAAAGAACAGTAGGATATATAATCCGTGTTCTTATAGATATTATTATTTTTACAAAATAGTGCTCAATGCAAATTTACAGAGCATTAATATTCGCTTGAGGATGAAATGGAACTAATGTCTTTAATTTAATTACAAAATTAAATTCGTAGCTTTTAGCTTCCATTTTGAAACATGGTTAGAACTGTGTATCGAAAAAAAACATATTTTAAATAAATCAATTTATAATATATATATATATATATATATATATATATATATATATATATATATAAATATAATGAATGTGAATGTCAGTGTGTCATTGTGAGACACTTTTTCAACTTTACTCCTAGAAGCCGTAGCCCAACATATCATACAATTTTGGTATCAAGCTGATTCCTTGAGTAAATTAAAAACATTCTGGGCTGGATCCGGATCTGCAATGCTGAAGTTTTGGATTCCAAAGTTTTCATTACTGCAGTTATTTTTGGTGATTTTTTTTACATGATTTTTTGCAGCACATTTTTTGTATGATAACAATTTTTATAACTTGGAATTAAATTTGGTAGAATATGTTTTTCTTTAGTTTGTATTAAGTTGTATATTGTAATAAGCTCATAATTCTACATTTTTCAGTTTTCTCTTTGTGAAAATATAAAAATTAATCTAAAGAGGGTTCCAAAGTTCAGCTTGCCTGGAGTATCAGCAACCCTAGAGCCATCATTATAAATATTTATATATGATAAAATATAGTTATCCCGGACAGGACATATGTAAACATAGGGTGTGTGTGTGTGTAAACTCAGATATGACTATAAATATATGTAAAAAGACAATATGAATAATGATAAAACAAAAATTTTTTTTTGCTGATGTGTTTCATCCTCTGATAATAGGGAATTAATTTTTAATCACCCTTCAATATATATATATATATATATATATATATATGTATTAAAATGATACTGGACTTACACATGTAGGAATGTTCATTTGACTGTTCTTGCTTGCAGTGGACTTCTTCATCACAGCAAACCTTATTTCAGATTGCATGTTCATCTAAAGCCCAGACACAGACAGTATACTTGTATGAATGTTACTATATCACAAGATGACCAAAGAATTAGAAACTATATCAGAATATCTACCACCATCTCACATGTAGCTAGTGAACTCAGCTCAAAATCAGCACCATTCCTCAGGATGTTGTAATTCTATCTATCTTTATATATATATATATATATATATATATATATATATATATATATATATGATAAATGCAAATGTTAGCGTGTCAATGTATCACACTTTTTCAACTTTACTCCTAGAGGCTGTAGCACAACATATCATAACATTTGGAATCCGGCTGACTCCATGAGCAAATAAAAACATTCCAGACTGAATCCAGACCCACAATCCTGAAATTTTGGATTCACAAGTTTTCATAACTGCAATTGTTTGCGAATTTCACCATCTTGGTTTTTACTGATAAAACAATTAAAGGGATACAACACTCTAACTTTCAATAGCTCATGTTCAAATGAAAAAGTTACTGTCTTCAATTTACAGTGTTTCAAAATAAAATCGCCCATGTTTTCAACTTTACTCTTAGAAGCCATAGTCCAACATATCATACCATTTTAGAATCAGGCTGACTCTATAAGCAAATTAAAAACATTCTGGGCCAGATTCAGACCTGCAATCCTGAAATTTTGGTTTCCCAAGTTTTCTACGATAAAAATTTTTATAACTTGGAAATAAATTTGAGAATAGTCAAAATTAATTGAAAAATCCAACGAAAGTCACCCATGTAATAAAAATAATTGTTTGTATGGAAAGTAAGGACCTGCATACATCAAATTGTCTTTAAATTAAGTGGCAGCAGAAGAATCATCATTGAACTTTTAAAAGATATGTTTAAATATTACTGCAATATTTAAATGCAGCAATCAATTTTGAGTTCTTCTGTAGTTTATTGTTGCCTATAACATCTACTTTTCCCTACCTATTGTGAAGGCATATCTAGATGAAATTGGTTAGATTATAAAAAAAATAAAAAATAATATAGAATATTTTATTTTTTTATATAATCTAGCCAATTTCATCTAGATTCTTTTTCTTTTTGTTTCCATCGCTTTTGTTTGATTTTCCTTCTCTGTGATAATAGAAGATCTGCCAGGAAATGGTGAAATGTTGTAAGAGCTTGGATGAAAATTTACTGTGGATTACCTTGCCATCAAGGCACTCTCTAAACATTTTCATCATAGTGAATTGTTTTCTCCTTTGAACAGAGTAACATATTTTATGTCTATGTCATACATTTTATATATATATATATATATATATATATATATATATATATATATATACATATATTCATTGGTGTCTGTTAGATTTTAGATCAACTCACTGAAACCAGAAAGTGTTTTTTTTGTTATATATATATATATATATATATATATATTTAGAAACCATTTTTTATTTTTTTCCTATGGATTTTGTTAATTTGTAGGGTGTGCTGTTTATCCCTGATGTTATGCAGTGCATTAGGGTGCCTTGTTTGTTTGTTTATATATATATATATATATATATATATATATATATATATATATATATATATATATATATATATATATATATATATATATATATATATATATATATATATATATATATATATATATATATATATATATATATATATATATATATATATATATATATATATATATATATATATATATATATATATATATATATATATATATATATATATATATATATATATATATATATATATATATATATATATATATATATATATATTAAACCTAGAGAGCCAGACAAACCTACCAAGGTTTCACCTAAGCAGATTGTTAGGGAAGGCTGGCACTTTATTTAGTTATTTTGCTTACTCGTATTGACTTTTTTTTCTTTGGACTTTGGACTTGCATGCTAGATGATTATTTTCAGCTAATGTACATGTTCTTTGTTCTTTCTTTTTTCATACCTTTTTTTTTTCCCTTTGGTATTGGTTTGATTATTTGCAAATCAAGACACCGAAGGTTTTCCGTACGAGTATAATTTCTTATACTTATACTATTATTACTAGTATATATATATATATATATATATAATTATTTTTTTTGTATTGAGCACTCTTTTAAGAATAGTAATTGTTGGTTATTGGAATTCATTCCGTGTATACCAATTATATACTTTGGTATATATATATATATATATATATATATATATATATATATATATATATATAATAGAGCTGCTGGTGCCTGTTGGAATTTAAATCAACCCACTACAAGTAGATCTCTTTTTTTTTCTCTACTAGCTCATATTCTGATATGTGCTATTAATGATTTTATGACAACCAGTGGGTATCACGTATGTTTCTAGTCTTAAGTTTATTATTAAGAATTAGGAGCTTAGTGCACTCTCAATTTATTTTCTTTTTGGTGAATCTTTTTCATTTCTGATCAGACCGGCATTTATTAAGTTGAAATTATGGTCAGATGTATTATATATACATGTGTGTGAATGTGATAGGGTGGTACCTTTATTAATTATGGTATTGAACTTATGTTTACATCTTTTATGATTTATAGTTCTGACTAAGAACATAACTATATACTTCCCTGTATACCAAGTAAACAAGAAAACATTCATCAACTAACTCTAGCCACATACACTCTGGAAAATTAAGCTAATGTTCTCTGAAATATATGTATGCGTCAACAGATATTGTCTAAGAAAAAATATTTTTGAACAGATGCCTTTTGGCTACAACATTGAATTCTCTTTCATTCTTTCTGTTGTTCCTTTGTGTGTGTTTTTATTTTCTTCTTCTTCTTCTTCTTTCATTCATAGTGAATTGGTTCTTGCCTTCTTTCATTCATAGGGAATCTGTTCTTGTCTTCCTTCATTCATAGAAAATTGGTTCTTGCCTTCTTTCATTCAAAGCGAATTGGTTCATGCCTTCTTTCATTCATAGCGAATTGGTTCTTGCCTTCTTTCATTTATAGCAAATTGGTTCTTGCCTTCTTTCATTCAAAGCGAATTGGTTCTTGCCTTCTTTCATTCATAGCAAATTGGTTCTTGCCTTCTTTCATTCATAGTGAAACAGTTTTTGCCTTCTTTCATTTATAGTGAATTGGTTCTTACCTTCTTTCATTCAAAGCGAATTGGTTCTTGCCTTCTTTCATTCATAGCAAATTGGTTCTTGCCTTCTTTCATTTATAGCAAATTGGTTCTTGCCTTCTTTTCATTCATAGTGAAACAGTTCTTGCCTTCTTTTATTCATAGGGAATCTGTTCTTGTCTTCCTTCATTCATAGCAAATTGGTTCTTGCCTTCTTTCATTCATATAGCAAATTGGTTCTTGCCTTCTTTCATTCATAGTGAAACAGTTTTTTGCCTTCTTTCATTTATAGTGAATTGGTTCTTACCTTCTTTCATTCAAACCGAATTGGTTCTTGCCTTCTTTCATTCATAGCAAATTGGTTCTTGCCTTCTTTCATTTATAGCAAATTGGTTCTTGCCTTCTTTCATTCATAGTGAAACAGTTCTTGCCTTCTTTTATTCATAGGGAATCTGTTCTTGTCTTCCTTCATTCATAGCAAATTGGTTCTTGCCTTCTTTCATTCATAGCAAATTGGTTCTTGCCTTCTTTCATTCATAGTGAAACAGTTTTTGCCTTCTTTCATTTATAGTGAATTGGTTCTTACCTTCTTTCATTCAAAGCGAATTGGTTCTTGCCTTCTTTCATTCATAGCAAATTGGTTCTTGCTTTCTTTCATTCATAGCAAATTGGTTCTTGCCTTCTTTCATTCATAGTGAAACAGTTTTGCCTTCTTTCATTTATAGTGAATTGGTTCTTACCTTCTTTCATTCAAAGCAAATTGGTTCTTGCCTTCTTTCATTCAAAGCAAATTGGTTCTTGTCTTCTTTCATTCATAAGGAATCA